GGACTTCTAATTAAATGATGACACGTGAATTTTTTCTAGCATGACCCAATGACCTGGCCCGATCCAAAGTGTGTATAAATTCACTTTGCACATGCACTGCGTATAACTTGTACATTGTATAAAACCTAATTATAACTTGCAGTACGCATGTATCCTTTGCATAGTAGCTCTCCTTTGGCCCCTGTCTCGATGCTCTCCTCTTTTTATTTTCTTTTTCTTTTTTTTTTGTGGGAAAGGGATATCTACCCGCTGCCACCCCTTTAAGAGGTGAATGGCGGTGTAACTAATCCCTCGGCGAGCCTACCAGCAAGCAATCCTACAGGTGCAGGACCCACAGTTATTTTCTCCTCACTTAAGGGGTCAAACCGCATGAAAGAGAAATCGAACATGAGTTGGAGGGTTCCCAATCATGCTCGCACCTCAATAGTTGTTGTTATAGTGAGTCCCCTCAAACTTAACCATTATTTCTCTCTCTCTCTCTCTCTCTAAATTCATGAGACACAAGTAAATTTATTTTTATTTTGAAAATTTAAACTATCATTGAATTTTTTTTTGTTATTTTAAAAATTATAAATGTATTTATAAATTTTAATGTAATTGAAGTCGATAAATTAAGTAGCCCCAAGGGATAGATGAGCATCTTCTTTTGATGGAGCAAGTAGGGACAATACCCTCCCAAGCAAAAATTATTACGTGCGGAATCTAGATTTTCGCTAGACTCTAATGTCTGGGCTTCAATCAGGCAGAGCCGCGTGATTTTTTTTTTCTCTTTTGCACTGTGTAAGAGAGAGAAAATTCAAAAAAAAAAAAAAAAAACCTATGTTGCTTCACTTGATTTGAGTCTAAGAAAAAAAAAAACTACATCCAAACTCCAAATGTAATAATCTCTCCATCTCAAGAGCAAGTTCTTCTATGGATCAAGGGTGACTGACCAACTAGGACAATTACTTTTGTGATAAATACCTTTCTCAATCGAGGAAAATTATTAGGTCCGGACATCTAATTAAAATTTGTCATGTAGACTGTGCTTTACCTGCACTTTATTTAGGCTTTACCTACGCTTTTGACGCGCTCGACTTAAAATTCCGCGGACACGTGTACATTCCACATGTCAATATTTTATTGGTGTCCGGACATATCTCTACGTCCGGTGACCGGACCTAATAATTTTCCCTCACTCGAACTCTTCCAAGATGAATGCCGTATTTAATTAAGCTCTTATGAGGCTGAGCTCTCTTAATCGAGAGCCAAACAAACATGTGAAATAATTAACATTCAAAAAGAATAAATAGATAGTATATACTTTCAAGACAAAATCTTATACTTAATTATGATAGATGAATTGGATAATGATCATAAGATTTTCAATCTATTTTTTTATTATTATTTTCATAAATAAAAATTTAATTCTAATCAACTAAACAAATTTTAATTTCTCCTTAATTACATAATTAAAATTTCACCTAACATAATTTTTTTTAATATTTATGTATATGCCAAAATGATGGAGCTTATGGGCATCCCCCTTCTTCTCACTTGGATTCTACTATATGTGATTTTCAGCTTGGATAGTGTCCAATCCATATTATTCCTATCTCCCCATTTCATTTGAAGGTATCTAAGCTCCAGTTTTTATTACATTATATGATTTTAGGTTGTATTATATGCCTCACATCTATACTTTTATTTAATTTTTCTTAGAGCTTTACTTATTAGATTATAATATTTTTATTTACATTATTTGATTAATGAAATTCGATATATAAGAAATTTTGGCTACTCGTAACTTCAAAACTTCTCCTTGAAACTTTTGAGTGAATTAAAATCACATATCCCATATACAAACGTCGAATTCAAAACCTCTTGACGCAGAATGCTGTCCGGAGACTAATCAGAATGAAACAAGTCAGCAGTACTGAGCCGCAATGCCGCGCCATGGTACCGAGCACAAGGGTGACGTGACACATTATGATTGGTCTCCGTACAGGGTTCGGCATCCGTACAGAATAATTAATCATTGACTGATAGCCTAAGCTCCTAACCAACATATCAAAACATACTTGAAAACTTTTGAACGAGCTTAGCGGAAGACAATGACATCGACATGTCCATAAAATACCAATATTAAGATAAAATAAGCGCATTATTATATCTAAATTAGCCTTCATTAACAAATGGTGATAAATTATTTAATTATTTTAAAACTAATTACATAATTAAACACCAAGTAAATCTCAATGATTTTTATGATTAAATTAATCTCCATTAGCCTAATTAATCTAATTAATTAGAAAAATCACTATGAACACCTCTATAAGTATTAGCAAGTTTAAGAAATAACTCATTGCATTTTCAACATTCTAAGGAAAATTGATTATGATAAGCTATAAACATAAATCTCAAGTGAAGTATTCTACCTATATGGAAAGTTATCAACCACCAATGGATGGGAAAGTATACATAATATTTGGTCATTTGGCTCATTGCAAGCGAAATTAGCTCCTGCTGCATAATTACAACGCTAACGGCTCAACAGATACCTGACAGTTCAAAGACCAATCAAAATGCGCCACATCATCTGGTACACAGCAGTACCGAGCACCGGTTCCGAGAAAAAACATGACATGGCACATAATTATGATTGATCTTCGAATGTTGTCCGGTGTCTACACATAACAAATTTTCGTACAGAGGGAAAATACACGACCAAAGAAAATTTATTATTCAATTGCTATTATGATTATAAATTATGTATCTAACCTTTACTTGAACATTATAAGCATCCTCCAAATTAATCTAACCATAAGAACATGGTTCATACTAAAGCTAATGCTAAGACTTCATTTGAGATAACTTTTTTACTATTTTCTAAAACAATTTATAAGAATAAAAATTTATTGTTTCAGAACATAACTAAATTACTAGAGATAAACAATTATTCTAAGATTTTAATTATACTACAGCCTTATTTTTCTGAATTCCAGATTATGTTTCAGACAAATAAAAAGGCACACATTTCAAAGTACTCTATGCAAAATTTCTCTCAAAATCCCTAAATGTGTGTGACTGATGTCTCTGCAACATACAAAAAAAATGCAAATTTATCCTAATTTTTCGACAACGAAAATATAAATTTAATCGAAAAATTCAGAAAATCTTCATATTGTTTAAAACTGAGATAAGCAAAATATCACCTATCTAGATCCGGACAATTTTCAAAAACTAGACCGACAGAAAAAAATTATCCGAGCAGCTCAAATCGAACTTTCTCTCTCTAGAATCTCTCCCTTTCACTCTCTAATGCTGGCTGCCTCAAATAAATGAATCGAATGAACAATCTTTTGGAATATTTCAAAATAATCAAATTTACAATTAGAAAGGAGTAAAAAAGTTGTCCCAAATGAGAAGCCTAAAACTAGGCATGAAGAAGCTATTGATGCAATTTGTATTTCGAAATACAAAGTGCAATAAGATAACATGTAAGATGAATAAATAAAAGGGAAACTTATAAGGTAAGAAAGGTCTATAAATATCACAAGTTGCTACACAGTGCAATAAGAAACATTAATAGAACAATAAGATGCCACTACTGAAGTAAATATTAACATGCAAGACAAATAAATATATGATATGCTTTGCATAATGTAAATGTTGTGTTCGGGTGGGTTCAACCCGATCCGATTTTTAAAATAGATCTATTTGTTGAATCCGAATCCGATCCATTTTGGGTCCGGTTTACTAACAACAACAACATCAAACCTTTATCCCACTACGTGGGGTCGGCTACATAATCTTTTTTCTCCAGTGTGTCCTATTAAAAGTCAAATTCTCATTTAAATCTACTAAAAAATATCATTTATAATATTTTCTAACCAAGTCTTTTTAGGTCTGCATCTACCTTTTTTAACATAAGTCAAATCTAATACCTCTACTTTCCTAACCGGGTCATCGGAAGGATGTCGTTTTATGTGATCAAACCAGCAAGGCGACTCTCTCTAATCTTATCTTCAATTGGAGCTACTCCAACCTTTTCACGTATATATGCTCATTTTGTATCCTATCTCTAAGGGTAAAGCCAATCATCCACCTGAGCAATCTCATCTCTACCACACTTAACTTAGTATTATACTTCTCTTTTAATGGTCAATTTTCAGGCCGGATTCGTATTGGGTTTTCGGGTTGTGTCAAATATTGACACTCCTAGTGAAGATCATAGCAGAATTAACCAAGCAGAAACCATGGAAAATTATCCAAAGATAGAAAAAAATAGGTAACTAGTAATCTACTAAAAATAGAAGAATTCCAAACCTTAAATAAGAATCTCTCTTCAGTAGGCAGAAAGATGCAAACCGACAAAAGTTAAGTCGCATTGATAATAAAGTCATCAAATGAAAGAGTTACATCAATATCACTGTGGCTGTGTCTGCCTTGATTGAGAGGCACCATATCCGCCACCATAACCAATAGTCCCACCAGGAGCACTAACCTGACCAGCTCCATAGCCACCTCCCTGAGTAGGCTCAGCCCTCCAAGCATTTGAATAACCGGCGTTTCCGCTGCCATCGTTATAGCCTCCGGTCATGTAGCCAGCGCCTCCGCCCTGTTCACCATTACCAATAGAATTTCCTGCTAGACCACCGCCACTGCCACCGCGACCTCCACTGGCACCATATCCAGCCTGATTTCCATAAGCTCCTTCACTCCCTCCACCATACCCACCATACCCATATCCCTGATTTCCATAGCCAGGGGACTGACCAGTCTGTCCTGAGCCAGGTCCTCCATATCCTACATTTGCACCATAACCAGCAGATCCATAACCACTTGGAGCTTGATTATTCCATGGACTCTTTGGAGCACCTGAAGAACCACTTATATAGCCAGCTCCAGGGCCACTCGGATTTCCATAGGCTCCATTACTTCCATAGCCTCCATGACCTCCATAACCAACACTATTGGTTGCTGCTCCATAACCATAGGCAGGACCACCATAGCCTGATGAACCATAAGGATTGTAGCCAGTACCACTTCCTGCTGACTGCATGTACCTACCAGTACCAGCATCCACTCTATTGTCATAAGAACTTGTGTTTGCACCTGAACCACCATAGGACTGATAACTTCCACCGCCGCCGGAGCGATTACCAGCGCTGCTAGGATTTGAGTCTTTTGGAAGGGCGCGTTTGACCTCCACTGCTTTCCCTCCTAAGTCATGAAACTGCTTCTGCACCACACGATCGACAGAATCCTCTGAATCAAATGATACAAAACCAAAACCTCTTGGCCGCTGGGTGTTCTGATCATACATTACAACAACATCTGTGACAATGCCAAAAGCTTCAAAGTATTCGCGGAACTCCGAGTCTGAGAGGGTAGGGGGAAGCCCTCCTACAAATATTTTTTTTGTCCTAATATTGCCACCGCCGCTGCCCCCACCTACATTTCGAGCCGTATTGTTGTTTCCTGATCTAACAACGGTATGTTGCTCCTCTCTTGACATTGCCCTTTTAGCTTCCACCTAGATAAAGAAAAGAGAAGCTGAAGAAATAATGGACTGCATTGCAGAAACATACTCAATACTCAAAATTGACCCAGTATAGATAGTGTGAGCACTTTTATGACGTGTTTAGAGCCACTTGAATTATTATTGAACAAACAAAACTAAAAACAAATGCCTGCACATCAACATCAGCAATTAATAGTTGACGGTCACAAAAAGAAAACAGGACAAGCGACCAAGAAAAACACCAGGCAATCAACATTAGTTAAATCGGAGAACACAGAAGTGTGAAGTTGTACATAGGGGTGTAAGTGAGCCGAGCAGATTAGTGAGTCAACTCGAACTTGACTCGATAAAGAGCTCGTGAGCCGAGCTTATCGAGCCTCGAGCTCGTCTATTAAACGATCTCGAGTTCAAGCTTAACGAGGCTAGACTCGTGAGTTGACTCGATTGATTGTTAGGAATTTGCTTTTAAAATAATCACTATTTTCATTAAATTTGAATGTTTAAAAAAAAATTAATGACTAAGGCTACAGCAATAAATAATTACTAGAGCTGAAGCAGCTTCTATAAAAAATATATAAAACATTGAGGATATATTCCCAAGGAAAAAAGTTGCAGACATTAATCACTCCAATTAATTAGTTCAAAGTCTTTTCTCCACGGGAAAAAATGCAACAAAGTCTTCTTCTCAGTTGTGATTGCGACAAAGTCTTCTTCTCAATTGTGATTGCGACTAGTTCTTTTGCGGCAAGCTCGTAAGCTGGCTCACGAGCTTGCCTTTATTGCACAAGCAGAACTCGAGCACAACCTTTTAGCTCGACTCAAGCTCGAGCTTAAATTTGAGCTCTCAATTTGGTTGGCTAGCCGAGCTTGAGTTAGGCATGACTCTGCTCGACTCAGCTCATTTACACCCCTAGTTGAACATGATGGCAGCATGCATCTTCCAAAAAAACCCTAATAAAAGATTGGCTTATTGATGTCGTGAACCATCGCAAAGCATCCAAATTAATGTTTTAGCAGGAGGAAAGAAAGGTAGGTTCCACGTGCATAAAACTCCAACCAAAATAGAGATCCAGAGGAAAGTTGATGTGCATAGCCTTAACTTCGCATTACTAAAAGAAACAAAGAAAACTAAAAAGAACTCCAAAACATGGCAGTGAGGAATTACAACCAAATAACAATCGTATCAAACTATATTGATGACTACAGAAACAAGCGGAGTGAATTCTAAGTTCAAATTAAGTAAAAAGTTGGCAAATGCAGGAAACCGGCTGAATCATGCTGTAGAATAATGCATAAGCAAGCAATAGAAGCTCATAAAAATCAGTATAAGAGAATAAAAGCCAAATCTACTCATGGATAGCTGGCAGACATCTCCACATAAAGAAATCAAAGCAGACTTTTACCACAAAGACCAAGCTTACCTCTATGCTCAAGTAAAATAAAAGGTACAGAACAAAATAAATTAGCATGAAAGAAATATTAACCTTGAATAGAAATTCATCAAAAAGAAACCAAAAGGATTGATAACCATTTAACAATGATTTTTATTGCAATTTTCACAATGAAATGATCATTTATGAAATCATATAAAAAGATATTGACAAATATAACAAAGATTGAATCTAATTCCGGAGAATATGGGGATATAAATAAATAGGCTGATGTAACCTAACATATTAAAATAAAAAAGCATAATAGATTAATGAGATGATTATGCAATGAGTTTGAGAGAGTAATATGGATGAAATATACATCAGATGAACTTTTCTCCTCATAAGTGGAGAATTACCACTCTCCACCTAATCAGATTTTCATTTTATGGCATTCAAAATCAAGATCAAAACCTTTCATTATTTTTTTCATCATTAAAACTAAAGGAATGTTAAATTTTTAGAATTTCTAAGATCATTTAATCATCAATTAGATGCATCAAAATTTTTAAAATGGATGGCTTCCATTGCATTGGATGATAATTGTAATTTCAAAGTGAAGATACTGTAAAATTGCTTGGAATCAAATACATGAGTTGTTGATAATATTTTGCATGTAATTTAATGGCATTGATTGGTGCAATACATGTTTGCAATGGCAAATTTGTGTGTGTGTGCAAAGCAAATCAATTGGTATTTTGAGTTAATTTCAATTCGTGCAATAATCAAGTGTTTTCCTATCACAGTATGCAAATATAATTCATTCCTTACAGTTGCAAAGGATACTACTTAAAGTAATGTCATTCGCAATCTAGAAGCCTATTAACAATCCATCATCCAAAATGCCAGAAAAATGATGCATGACAAATACTATTAAACTCGGGTACCAACTGAATTTACAAAAAAAATCGAAATAAACTTAATCGGTAAACGCAATGAGGATCCACAATCTATATTCTTTTAAAGTTTCACGCCGTAGATAATCCACGGAGACGACAGGAATCCTCCGTGGAAAAACAAAAACATTATAACTACAACCAGCAAAAGTTTCATAAAATTGGAAGCAGAGCGAAACTGAAAAATCTTAAAAACAATACGAATTTTAAAACAACAACAATCCATTGCTTAACACATTAAAAACAGGCTCCGAGATTAGATCAAGCAAACTCCAATCGCCATGAAAAAACACAGCAAGCAAAAATTCTACGGAAAATGAGAGTATCATAATGAACTAAAATTTTCTAGGAGAAAAAAAAAATTATAGAAAATGTTCCTCACCGTGCGGCCGTCAATGTTGTGAGCATCTTGAAGGACTCGGTCGACAATCGAAGGATCCGCGAAGACGACGAATCCGAAACCCCTTGGCTTACCGGAGATTTTATCCCTCATCACCACAGTCTGCAGGACATCTCCATATTTACTAAAGTAATCGGTCAGCCTGTCTTCCGTTGTTTCCCACGAAATTCCCCCGATAAAAAGCTTTCCCTGATCCGAATCCATCGATCCCTTCTCCCTCTCAACCAAGAAGACCGGCTGATGCTAGGGTTTTCAGGGCAGATATCGCCGCCGCTGCGGTAGGAAAAATCTAAGCGAAGAGAAGAGAACAAATGGTTGACGATTACGAAGAAGAATATGAAGAAGCCTTCAGCCTGTTATTCAGATGTAGGAATGGACGGCTGCGATGTTCCCAATCGTGACGATAACGAGTAGGGTTTGCGCTTTCTGTAAGAAATTCGCACCCATTGGAAAATTAGGTAAATAAATTTTGAAGGAAATTATTAAATTGCAAATACAAAAAGTATTTGGGGAAAAAATATAAAAGAGCATAAATTCTAGATTTGTCAATATTAGCTAGCATGCAAATATATTTCATTGATTTTAATTTTTTTAGTCAAATTAGTGGCATTTGTTTGATTAATAATTATTAAGATTAAAATTTTGAAAAAAAAAAATTGCTATGATTGATCCATTAATTCAATTGAATTTAGCGACTTGATTTTAGTCAACAATATTTTTGTTATTTATTTGTAAACTTAATATTTGATAATATATTATGAACTGCGCCTTATTTATTCATAGTAATTCACATAAATCAATAGTGTGATTCTTCTCATAAGAGGGCTCTACTAGGGTTTTAGTGCTTCCCTCTTCTCTCCCGCCTTCCCTTCCCGCCGTCTTCTTGGGGAGGGGTTTTTCCCCTCCTCTTGGCCCCTGATGGCTTCCTCCTCTTACATTGCGAACTTCCCTCCGCTCACTAGCGCTGGAACTTCAACTTTATCGGCGCCTCCAGGCCTCAACTTCATCTCCAAACTTACAAATCAAGACCTGGTAGCAAACGATTTTACTGTATGGTTCATACAACCCCACTCGAAGATTCCTTTTTATGCCGATGATCTTGCGCTTGGAGTTCCCGACTGGAATCTCTCTCTTGTTCGCTATTCTGTGGGGCCGAGACCTACCTACCTGAGTTTGCAGAACGTCATAAATAAGGTTTGGTCCCGCAGATGTTTGATTTGATCTCCTTTCCCTAAACGACGGTTTTTTCCTCTTTAAATTTTCCTCCCCGGAAGATTATGAGGTGGCTTGGTCGGAAGGACCATGGTTTTTCTTTGGGCGCCCGTTTATCCTTCAAAAATGGACTCCCAAATTTAAACCAAAAGAGATGATTTTATAGCTATCCCCATTTGGATCAAGATCATAGATTTACCGCTAGCTGTCTGGAATCCTTTTGGTATTTCAAAAATTGCAAGCTTCATTGGACATCCCTTGGCAGTTGACTCCCTTACAGCTCGGAAAACTCACCTCACTTTTGCGCGGGTGTGTGTTCTGGTCACTAGCAAATCGAACTTACCTTATGTTATCCCGATAAACATGGATGGTGATGATGTTGACTTAACTGTTTTGTATGATTGGAAACCTACACCGTGTCCTAGTTGTGGTTCTCTAGTCCATCCTCATAGCCTTTGCCCGAAAAACCCTCAACCCAAACCTCCATCTCTTCCTCTCTCCCGTGGTAGGAGCAAAAGCAGAGCTAGACCTCCTAAACCCCAACTCCCGTTGCCCACCAACCAAGCCCTGCCTCCCATTCCAAATACCTTAAATTCCACCCAACTCATTTCTACCCCCCAGCATGCCCCTTCTCATCAAACTGCTAACCCCCCAATCTCCTAAACTGTCTTCCCCCAACACTTCTGTTAAGGACACCATTGATACCCCTTCCCATAACTCCCAAACTCACATGCCCCCTCACACTGTTCTGAACAACCAATTTGCTTCAATTCCTAACCTAAATTCCCCCCCTAATGAGTTACCTACCAACGACCCTCCTCCCAATTCTAATTATCATAATCTTCCAACTTCTCCTGGGAGAATCGGTGCATCCTCTAACAATCCTATTAACAAATCCCCACCTCCCTGGCTAAATCAACCAGCCAACTCCACCACTTCCCCAAATAAATTTGCAATTCTTGAGTCGGAGGAACCACCTAACTTACAGGAGAATTATGAGGTGTCTTCCAGTAATAACCAGTAACTTTCTGAGGAACCTCCTGAGAATCATAATAAACCCAAGACCCAACAATCAAAACCCCCAAGATCCAAGAGCGCCAAAAAAGCGCAAACCAACTCCAAATCCAAATGACCTTGCCGTCTATAGGGTGCTGGAATGTCAGGGGTTTTAACAGTCCTGATAAAGTCTTTACGTGTAAGAATCTTGTTACAGCCCACAGCCTTGATATGATTTGCATCCTTGAAGCTAAACTTCCTCTTGTAGCTTCTTTTGATCCTTGGTTTGATGCCTCTCACCGGGTTTTTCATAATGAAAACTCCTGTCATAACGTCTGCTCTTCCGCTCCTGGAAGAATATGGCTGAAGTGGAATCCTCTTTCTGTTACTTTCAACCCCTCTATATTCACCCCACAACTGATCCATGGCACCCTAACCTACAACTCCTCCTCTTCCTTTTTCTTAACCGTGGTCTATGCTACTAATACTCCTGCTGACCGTGCCCCTCTTTGGGCTATGCTCTCTGACCTTGCAATCAATATTAATTCCGCATGGCTTATTGCTGGAGACTTTAACTGTTTTAGGGACACCAAAGATAAATTGGGGGGATCTCCTCCTCATCACAGTCAGATGAATGAAATGAATAGTTGGGTTTTTGACTTTGGATCTTTAGACCTTGCTTCTACTGGTTTGAGCCCTATTTATATTAAGCTGGATAGAATGTTCATTAACAGTGCTTGGCTGGACTGTTACCCCAACTCTTTTTACAAAATTGAAGCTCCTAGCTGTTCTGATCATTCTCCTTTTATTCTCAAAGTTGGAAATAAATTGAAGTCTCATGACATATTCTTATTTAAGAATTACTGGATTCACATGGAGGGGTTCTAGGATACTATTATCTCAGCTTTCTCTAAGCATACCGCTGGAAGTCCCATTGCAAACCTCTATCATAAACTTAGGCTGCTTAAATATGGCTTGAAACAAAATGTCTGGAGCAACTCTGATTTTCTTAAAGACAAAATTATGTGCCTTGAAAACAATCAAAAACTTACCCTGGAACAGATTCAACTATACCCGATTGATACTCAGTTAAGTGCCAACCTCAAACATATAAACGCTTCTTTAGCTTTCTTTCATAATGCCTGGACTTCCTGGATTATGCAAAGAGCCAAGGCCAATTGGATTTCGAATGGGGAAGATGACTTAGGATTCATATATGCTAGAATCAAAACCAGGAGTAATATCAACAAGATTAAGGAGATCTCTACCACGGATGGTCACTTTTCTAGTCATTCTAATATTGTTAATGCCACGGTTTGTTACTTTAAAGAGATTTTTAACTTTCCTAATCCGACTAACATTAATTCCATTTCCATTCCTAGAGGCAACATCTTTCCTGATAGCCTCTCTCACGGCCTTGTTGCTCCTGTTACCGATCTGGAAATTAAAGAGGTGGTTTTTGTTGGGGCATCTAGTTCTGCCCTGGGACCGGATGGTTTTACCTTTGAATTTTACAAATCTACTTGGGAGATCACTGGTTTCTATGTGTGTCAAGCTATTAAAAATTTTTTTAGTAATGGTACCCTCCCTAATTCTGTGAAAGCTACGGCTATTGTTCTTATCCCTAAAAACCCTCATGCCACTCACATTACTGACTATAGACCTATATCATTATGTAATACCTTCTACAAAATTATTGTCAAGCTTCTTGCTAATCGAATGAAAGAGATCATGCCTCTCATTATCCATGAGAGTCAAGCTGGTTTTATTAAAAATAGGGTTTTCTCGGATAATATCATTTTGGCTAAAAAAATTTTGAGGGATTTTGGCTCTAAAAGGATAAGGAGTTCTTTTGTGCTAAGCTTGACATCAAAAAAGCTTTCGATTCTGTGTCTAAAAATTTTATTATTGCTAGATTGCTTGAGAAAGGTTTTCCCCATATTTTCATTTCCTGGATTAAATGATGCATCCTTGATGTTCCTTTTTCTATCTGTATTAACGGTGCCTTAGAGGGTTACTTTCAATCCTCTTCTGGACTTCGCCAAGGGTGCCCTCTCCCTCCTCTGTTGTTTGTTATTGTCATGGATGCATTCTCTTATGCACTGGATGATGGGAGATTTTCTGGTATTTCGAATGGACCTAATGCTTACAATCACTTGCTCTATGCTGATGATGTGCTTGTCTTTAGCCCGGCCACTCTTGCCAATATCCTTGCTCTAAATGAAACTTTGGATCTCTTTGATGCTTGCTCTGGTCTCCAAGTTAACAAGAACAAATGCTCCATTCTTTTCTCACACTCTTCTTCTATGACTGATGACATCAAAAGAGCTCTTGGCTTCACTTCCTCTGAAGTTTACCTGAAATATCTTAGCATTCCCATTGATATCAAAAGACTGTTTTCTACTCACTTCCAACCACTACTGAGCAAAATTTTTGCTCTACTTGCTGGTTGGAAAAATCAAAATTTTTGCTTTTGCAGGTCGTATCCAATATCTCAAATTTACCATTGCCAATACTATAGCATATTGGATACGAGGTGCGATCATCCCCAAAAGCTGCTGCAAGTGTATTGATAAAATGTGCACCAAATTCCTTTATCATGGCTCTGTCACCGAGATACAGGATGCATCATTTAAGCATTGAGCATTTTTTTAATTTATTTTACAAATCTATCATTTATAGAAATTTATAAGCACAAATTTCAGCATAACAAGAAATATAAATATATATGAAATTTATTAACAATAAATTCAAGCCCAATCAATATCCACCTCACAAAGCTCTTACTACATCTGCATCCAGATTTCCATTGAGTGGCTACTGTGCTCCCCTCCCCCTTCGCAAACTCCATTAATCTCTCCTCAAAATTCTCTCTTTCTTCACACCACCGCCACCATGTCGACCTCAGGCATCGGCGGCGGCCTCTTCTCAAGCTTTCATGGAAGCCGGACTTCACCGTTCTATGGCGAGGACAGAGCCGCTCTCAGCAAAGCAGTCTCCTTTCCCCTTCGAAGCTCCAAGCCTTTGCGACCTTCCCCAATCATGAAGAACGTCAATGAAGGCAAAGGTATTTTCGCTCCGGTGGTGGTTTTCACCAGGAACATCATTGGGAAGAAGAGATTCAATCAGCTCAGAGGAAAGGCCATAGCTCTTCATTCTCAGGCATGTCTTTCTCTACACAAGCAAAATTACTTTCTTAAATCCTTCTTTTTATGATTTGGAAAGAAGCGATGAATTGAAATTTTATGTTTTTAGGTGATTACTGAGTTTTGCAAGACCATTGGAGCCGATGGAAAGCAAAGGCAGGGGTTGATCAGGCTGGCCAAGAAGAATGGAGAGAAGCTTGGTTTTCTAGCTTAAGAAGGATGGAAAAAAATTGTTTTTTTTATTATTATTATTTAAAGAGTTCTTCCCCTCTATTTCCACTCCTTTCAATTTGAACTGATGTAATGTAAATTTCTAATATGGAAGCTACAGTAACAGATCTCTGCAAGCTCATTGTTTGACTCTGAACAGAGTGAAATATGCTATGATTTTGAGGGAATTTAGATTTTTTTTTGTTCAAATATGAGAGAGTTAGTGATATAAATTTCAGATGAAAAAGGTTAGAAAAATATTTGTGTTGAATGTGAAGTAATAATCTTGTGGTATTTTTTCTTCTTTCTGTTCTTCACTTTCATTGATAGAACAGCAAAAGAAGCTGAGGAACAGAGAGAACTGCAAATAGATAGAAAGAGGCTATTAGAAGAATAAGATCTTCTAATCAGGCTAAATTGATAGGTCAAGTAATAAGCTAATGTCTTAGTTTTTAGTAAAATGTTCAGTTGTCATACACACATAGGCTTCGTTTGAGACAGTTTTATTATTGCTTTATAAAACAATTTTTTCTAATTCAAAAGTTATTGTACTAAAAAGTTGTTTAAAAAACAACGAAAAAACTGTCCCAAAAGAAACCTTAGTGATAATCTAAAATTGTTCGGTTGTAGCATCCATTCTTTCAAATCAAATCAAACTTTGGAAAGTATCTTTAAACATAGACAATCTGTTCAGTGAGAGGCTCTGTTATGTGATGGTATTAATACCCATTATAATCAATCCAACATTGAAGCTTAGTTTGGAACACCTTTCTTACTACTTTTTTTTTTCAATTCTCAACTTTTTTTTATCATAATTTTTTTATTTAAAAAAAAACTATAAATTAAAAGGGTGTTTATTATTAACCTCTAATCATTACTAATGACACCACATAATGACCTTTCAAATCATTTTGTCTAAGTGATCATTTAGCTATTCCTACATTAAAAAAAAATCAAAAAATAATTTTTTTAATCCTTTTCATATATAAAAAAATAAAAAAGAAAAAAATAATAAAATCAATGATGTTTACAAGTATATTCATCTAAATGATGAAATCTTGTAAACATCATCATTATTACAGATTTTTTTTTCAAAATTTAGACAAAAAATTTCCCCAAGATGAGGAAAAACCCATATGGACTTACACTGCAAGAAAACAAATACAATAACCACAGACAAATAAATATTGAATAAGAAATATATATATTCCAGAGAAAAAAACAAAATATTCCATTTTAATTGTGATCTCATAGCCACATAATATCCAAGACTGCTGAAGAAAAATAATAATCCAGAATACAATTTTAGTTGCACAGCAATGCTTAAGCGAGTGGGACAGCTTTTTTGCTACTTTCTAAAACGATTTTTTAGTAGAAAAATTTCTTGAATTAAATTTTTTTGAGTATGAAAGTTATTTTAAAAAGCAGTAAGAAAGTTGTCCCAAACAAACAGTGCTTTTTATCTTTTACACACTGTAACGGCCTCCCCTGCTAGATTTGTCTCTTCTAGAATCATCCTGCAAATTAACATGAAAAGATCAGAAGATGAGTAGGATCAGTGATAACTTTTGATTTAGGCTTCGTTTGGGACGGCTTTTTTATTGTTTTTAACTAAAAAACTGTTTTAAGAAGCAGTAAAAAAACCGTCCCAAACGAAGGCTTAGTGAATGATGTTGACGGCTAACATACATGGTAACTGTATAAGATCTTGTCGGCAGTGTCGACGATTTCTTTCCACTTCCTTCCAATGCTCATCTACAGAGAAATTTGATGGAGAAATTGTAATCAGAATCATAAAAGAACAATAATCCTATGAAACTTTATGTTCCTTCTATCTAACCATTATGCAGATTCCATGTACTCTTCTATTAAGGACTATAAATCCTCAAGAGATAAAGCTAACAACCTAATAGGTCATCACAAAATTTATACATTTCTGCAAGAAAGTACGATCACTGATGACTTGTGGCATTGCATAGCTTGAATTAATTAGCATTTAAAGCATAATTTCATAAAGTTTAGGCAGAAATATTGTGAAGTGATTAGCATCGTTATATAGGACTTATCAAGGAAATAGAGATCCTAAATTGCAAGCTAATACTATATCAGTCCAATGGAAAACAAGTTAATGGACAAAAAGATGCAACTAAATAATTTTAAACACCGAAAAACCATGAAGGAAATAGAATTTTCTCTCTCCACTCCCTCCAAAATAGTGTTCTCCAATCTGTATTGTTGAATACATATTTGTTCATGGATGATACCTGACTTTACAGGTAGGTCTACCCAGTGAGTTGGAACCTATAAATAAAAATGGATAGTGTAGGAAGAGTGGAGAAAATGAGTTATAAATATTCAACAAGCAAAGCATACTCTATCAATAAAAGAGAAATCTCTAACTCCTTCCAATTATTCATCATCCCCTCTTATTTATAAAACTCTAAGGGTCATAGAAAAGTCTACGCAGAGAAAAAGGTAAAAATTACAAGCTAACCACAAATCTAGACACATGTCGCCTCCCGACGGGCTGAAGGTGGCAGAAGTCTATGGGTTCTTGGTTGAGTTCTCTAACGAGCTGGGTGATGGAGAGTAGGTTCTGGGGTGAATTTGCGAGCGAGTCTTGAGAAGTAGGACACCCACGAATGGCAAGTGATTAGGTGTGGTTGACGGGTTGTGCAGACGATTTCGGGTTGCCTTGAAGGTAGAGGCGAGTAGGACACAACGAGAATTGAAAGCTTTAGGATGAGCGATAAGAGCTGAATGATGTATTGGACCCCATACAGCTAAGCTTTCCAAGCTTCAAGGTGAAGGCTCTAGGAGAGGGCTAGCGACTGAGGTGGTGACGAGTGATGATGTGCTTGCTTGACAAGGGATTTCAATTCACCTCGTACAAGGCAAGCTTCTTGGTAGGTTTAGGTGAGTGGAGCCCAATGATCTCCTCTGACAGTTTCGAAGGTACCCCTCTTGAGGGCAAGTGTCCTTATCATGACTCGGTAGCCACCTGCTAAACGCCTGTAAAGTCATGTCTGAGTGAACATGCATGATATTGTGACCGATATTTCAATAACAAGGTTTTAATTTGTGCGTTAGGTTTAGTTTTAAATTTCTCACATTTCAAAAGGGTTGTAGTAGTTCTGTTCATTTAACTTTCAGTTTAGGTTAGTTTTTGAATAAAGTACAAATATTAGCAAAACTAAGACATCTTCAACAAGTTTAATTCATTGTTACTATAATTATTAATAGTTTACATAATTTTTGACAAATTGATAAATTTGTAAAAAATTTAACTTATAATTAAAAAATATATGCATTTCTCGTAAAATATAGTGCATAAAAATATCAAATATCATTCTTTTAACTCAACAAAATAGAGCATTTATTCAAAATAGTTCAAAATTTATGTTTTATTGCATGTTATTGATATACAAAGCTCAAAAAAAGATAAAAAGGTTTTTAATAGTTACATATAAATATGTATTGACTCTAAAAATTTTGGCTTAGATTTTTGTTTGTATATGAAAATGCAGAATATGAAAATGCAGAGTTGAAACCCATCCAACAAAAAATTTCAATTTTATGTTCACAATGGCAGGACCCCCAGAGAAAAGGTTACATGTCACAAGGAAGATAAGTGATGTGCATGTCACAAGAAAGATTATGTGATGATGTTAGCTTTTCAGAAACAACTTACGATTGCACAGTTGGCACATCAATCATAGTTCTTGCATTTAAATTGGGTGGTCCGGAAATATTTGAAAAGATGTAAGAAAAATTTAACTCTTAAAATGTAATCATTTGCCATAATGAACCCAAAACACTATGTCCTCAACCATCTTGATGCAATCCTGAAAATCCATACTCATCGGATTTATAAATCAGGTGTATTTATATTAATTTAGTTGTTTTTCCTTGGTTTTTTTATTTTAAAGATGCCTATGATATAAAAATATGATGTGCTCTTTTAGTATTTTAATCATGTTAAAGAGTTTGGTTTATTGCTTAAAGCTAATGCCTACTCTATTCTCACGGATTCTCCAGTCAGTTGTTTTCAATTCTCGGCATATATCTTTCATTTGGTGACTTATGTGATTGATCTTTTTGATTTACATATTTTGTGATTGATTTTATGCAGGTAATTGAGATTTAGCAAAGCCTTATAAAATCAAATTTTCCTTTCCATGGTGTAGATCGTATTGTTGGTTTTTTTTTTTAAGGAATCTTGTTAATTGTTATATTCCAAATTTTTAATTTTTATATTTTATTGTTTAGCATGAATATTATTTGTTTCTTTTTTATTTTCTTGTAAAAAGAGAATATTTTTATCTAAGAGTTAGTGTACAATGAATGTTGATCTTTTGTGTTTGTTGTTCATCCCATCCAAGATTTGCAATAATGAACCCAAAACACTAAGACGTCCTGCATAAAATTAGCATCATATATTATAGTTGCATCATCATAGCAACCAAAAATATAACATATTAATTGCTTTAATAAAAACTCAATAAATGATGCATATCAACAGAATCAAGTTAAGTATGGTTCTAGACAAATACAAGGTAATTATCTTGAGGTTCAAAATAATATTTAATGAGATGTATAATCTTGGACGATTTTGTTAGTTGATCAGTAATTTGAAGGACTTACTTAGAATTATCATATACTAAATTCAAAAAAAAAGTTGAAATAAAATTAGTAAAACATGCTCAATTATTTTAACAAAAATATTATAAGCAAAATGATTTCAAGGATAGCAAAAAAAATATAATTAAAGAGTAATAGTTACCCTTTGAATGTTTTTTAATATTATATGATAGCTATATGTCTGACAGCTTCACTTGATTTGCCTTAAACTAATTTGCTACCACTATACTACAACAACAACAACAACAACATCAAGCCTTTATCCCACTACGTGGGGTCGGCTACAAGAATCCATTTTCTCCATTGTGTCCTATTAAAGGTCAAATTCTCGTTCAAATCTAATAAAGAAAGGTCATTACCAATATTTTCTAACCAAGTCTTTTTAGGTCTGCCTCTACCTTTCTTAATATAAGTCAAATCTAATACATCTACTCTCCAAACCGGGTCATTGGAAGGCCGCCGTTTTATGTGACCAAACCATCTAAGGCGACTCTCTCTAATCTTATCTTCTACTGGAGCTACTCCAACCTTTTCACGTATATTCTCATTTCGTATCCTATCTCTAAGGGTAAAGCCACTCATCCACCTGAGCATCCTCATCTCTGCCACACTTAACTTAGTATTATGCTTCTCTTTTAATGGCCAACATTCAGCACCATAAAGCATTGCAAGCCTCACTACCATCTTATAGAATTTAATCTTAAGTTTGAGGGGTACATTTCTATCACATAACAAACCCGATGCATTCCTCCACTTCAACCATCCAACTTGAATTCTACTGATAATATCCCCATCTATTTCACCATCACTCTGAACAATAGATCCAAAGATGATATCATCCACATAAATTTGAACAATGAGTATTTTCTTTCTAAATTTCTTTAAGAAGAGAGTTGTATCCACACTTCCTTTTTCAAAAGATCTTTCAAGTAGGAAAGTGCTCAATCTCTCATACCAAGCCCTA